GGTCATCCTTCAATCTCTCTGTGTGGCAAATATATATGCATATGCTTCATAGGGGGCGACATGGCCTTCGGTCGGCCTTCAGGGGTCATCCTTCAATTCAATCTCTCAGTGTGGCAAGTACGTATGCATGCTTCAGCGAGTTTGGAGATGCCGCCGGACTCGTTAACACTTCACAACCCTGTTTGTTCTCAATAACAAACATGCAAAAGGTTTGAGGTTCGTAGTACATCATGGTACACACTGCATCTTATGGCATGGTAGTGGTTGGATCATTCAATCTGTGACACACCAAGTCGGAAATGATACATTTAATGAATTTTAATCAATTAATTAAAAATTTAATGAAAAATTTATTCTGCGGTGAATCTAAGCCAGAACTTTGTTGTGGTGGTTTGAATAAAAAATGATCCAAAGAGCAAGCAATTTGACCTCTGGTGATGGTTTTTTTTTTCCCGGTGAAGGATCGTTTGATGGCTGACATTGCTTGCAATTGTTGTTTCTCGACAGCGAAACAAGCGTTTGGAGTTTGGGTTTTGGTCTGCGAAGTCTTTCTGCTTGATTGATTGTCGATGTTTTTCTGCGGATGGAGGAGCTCACAGCTAGAGCGAGAGCAGAGAATTTCCTAACGTTTGCCGTCCATCTAACCTACATGCCTTTGAGGATGTGACTTTGTCTTTTTTTTTTTGTTTTCTTCTTCTTGTTGGTGTGTTGTACGTATGTTGTGGTGGTGGTGATGATCGACACAGCCTTCACATCCTCCTTCATCTCTGCAGAACGGCTGGCTATGGTTACGCGTCAGTCTGTTGCCCATCGTGCTCGTTAAGGCCTCGACCGCTGCGTTGATGGAACCTATCCCTCTGCCGCACAGAGGAGTTCAGCCAGCCGGTGGGTGCTTAGTAGCCCACGAGGCGGAAGGGAAGGGTATTTCTGCAAGGAAACAACCTGAAGGGAAGCGTATCTGTGAGAAAACAACCTTTTGCTGCTGAAGCCACGCCCGCAAAGGAGCTGTTTGATTGGCAAAGCGATCAGTTTGAACATTTCTTTCTTTTTGTCTCCTTTGGCACCACGGCTTCGCTGTATTTATATATCTATATATATCTATATGAAACTCCGACGAAACAGTTTGTCACAGCCCCTCGTTTGTTGTCCTCTCCTCCCTCCCTCTCTGCCTACCGTTTATAGAGCAGCTCTGTTTGCCTATCTATCTATCTATATATGACATTGTACGTAAGAGATGATGAACAGGTGGGGCTTTCCTTCTTTTCCTTTCCTTCTTTTGCTTTTTTTTGCCTTTGCGCTCTGATTTACAGTGTGACAATAGATAGATAGATAGATAGATAGATAGATAGATAGATAGATAGATAGGTAGATAGATAGATAGATAGATAGATAGATAGACAGATAGATAAAAAGATAGATAGATAGATAGATAGATAGATAGATAGATAGATAGATAGATAGATAGACAGATAGATAAATAGATAGACAGATAGATAGATAGATAGATAGATAGATAGATAGATAGATAGATAGATAGATAGATAGATAGATAGATATGTAGGGTTCAGCCTGCTGATGAGTCGTTGAAACTCTGACGGAACAGTTGGTCACAACTTTTCGTTTGTTGTCCTCTTCGCCCTCTGTGCCGGCGGTTTACTGGGCAGTTCTGTTTGACGATATGTACGTAGATGCATCTCTCATCTCCCCCTCTGTCTTTAGTTTTGTTTCAGCAGGAAGGGGGACCACCATCTTGTCTTTTTGTTTGAACCTTAATATATAAGATAAGAGAAGAGAAACACTGTGACATACCAGAGTGTCAGGTAAAGCAGAGAATTATGGTTAACCTGAACCTGTTAGGGATCAACAGTCAAAAGCTGACTCAGCTATACTTCCTTAGTCAACAGGGGACTCAGCTATTCCTCATTATTATTATCACCGCGTTCTCCCATGTAATGTGTGTGTGTAACAACTTGGAGACCTTTTCTTGTGCTATACATTGATTGCCTGCATGATTGAGGACTCTTCTATTGCCCTCCCACCCTCCCTCCCTGCCTGAAGCTGCTGCAGCAGCGCTCTGTGGCCCAGTTGCTTTTCACCCCTCACATACAACAAAGACCAATGATCAGAAAACGTTTATCGTATTCCTTCTCTTTTCTGTTCTTGACGCCGTTGAGCTGTTCTGTGACATTTATTTAATATACTCCTATCAGGCGGTAAATCGCCAAGGCATCTACAGCAAATCAGTAAAGCATCAGTGACATGTGTAGTAGCATGGGTATGTATCAGTGAAGTATTGGTGTTTTATATAGAGNGCATCAGTGACATGTGTAGTAGCATGGGTATGTATCAGTGAAGTATTGGTGTTTTATATAGAGATAGAGTGGTAAATCGCATCAGCCTGATACTACTAGCCGGTAAATGGCATCGGTGTAATACTACTAGCCGGTAAATCGGCAAGGCATGTATCTGTAGGATTAATAGGTAGATCAGTGACATCGGTAGTTGTATGGGTATGTATCAGTGAAGTATTGGTGTTTTATATAGAGGTAGATCGGTAAAGCACCCGCGTAAATCGCCAAGGCATGTATCTGTAGAATAATAGGTAGATTGCGGAAGCGTTGGCTTTATTATTGGTAAGATTCCTAGAGCATCTGTGCGCAGGGAGGGTGTGGGCCAGTCCTCACCATCCGTGAACTGTCGACATCCTCGTTGGCATCGTCATCTTATCTCCATTGGATCGAAATGCACAGCAGACTTTCTGCCAGCGATGATAGTGACGATGGAGTAGAGGAGGAGGGGAAGGGAGGAGCGAGCGTCAGTGTATCTGTCGTGCCCTCGTGGACTGAACTCGTACCCGGCTACAAGCATGGAAGCAGGGGTGAGCAAGCTGCTGGTGCGGGGAAGAACGATGAGGATGACAGCGATGACGATGGCGTTGGCATCGGTAGTGTCGATGTCGCTGGCAAGGGTCTGCAGGCAGAGAAAGTGGCTGCTGTGACCAATTCTAGCTTTCCGGATGTCGACAACCTGGATGCTTCCATACGCTATCTAAATCAGATGCTTGTGGTGTATGGTTTCCCATCGCCGTTAGATTTGACTCCCACTCCTGCGGACAACGCAGCTGTTGCAAAGACGTGCAACTGCTTGTATGCGCTCCTCCAGCAGCGTCAGCGCGATATAGGGTTCAGAGACTCGATGAATGAGCAGCGGCAACGGCTGATGTCGGCAACGTCTCGGCTGGAGGCGAAAGTGGAACGCCTGGAGACGCAACTGTCTAGCAAAGACCGGGAATTGACAACGATGACGCTGGAAAAGCAGAAGATGGCTGCGGCTCACAGAGTCCAGGTAGAGAAGCTGCAAGCGGAGCGGGACGAGTTCCAGCGCATGTCTATTGGCATGCAGCAGCTGAGGGTGCAGCAGGCGCACGAGATAAGAAAGAAGGAGAAAGAGTACACGAAGCTGCAGGAGCGACTCAATCAAGTCGTCATGGAGAAGAAGAAGGAGAGTAAGGCCGGTATGGATATAGTCAACATGCTGCAGAAGGAAGGAAGGCAAAGGGGGACCTGGAGTGGGAAGAAAGCGGACAGCGATTTCTACAAGATGATTGTGGATTCGTACGAAGCCAAGAAACAAGAATTGCTTGTGGAGAACGCTGATCTACGAGCATCGCTACGCTCGCTGCAGGCCGACATGCGCGAGCTCTTGAACAGCCAAGGACATGTGAAAGGCGAGGCAAATCACATGGGCGCGGGGGTGATGATGACACCCTGCGAAACGCCTTTGAGGGGGCGCACAGATATCTTTGATCTGCCTTACCATCTCACGCGGGACGAGATAGAGAATAGCATGCGTGCCAAGATCGCATCCATTAGAGAGAGAATGGAGCACCTGCAGTCTGCGCAGTCGATGGCGGCGGAGAGGGAGACAGCAACGCAGCGGGAACTCGATCTCGAGGCCCAGCTCCTCGAGGCTAGATCTCTCATTCAGGAGCAAGAGTCCATTATAGAGATGTCCATCTCGATAGGCGACACCCCAGGACATTCAGAACGGATGAATATGGAGCTTCAGCAGGAAGCTGCCTTGTCTGCAATGGAAGAGGATCGAGCGCTCCTGGAGGAGCGGAAGCGGCAGCTCGAGTCGGAGAGAGCCGCATATGAGAGTATGGCGTTGCAGCTCGATGAGGAGAGGCGGAAACTTGGCAGAGAGAGGCGGAAGTTGGAAGAAGAGCAGAGGGCTTGGCAGACGTCCCTGCAGCTTTGGGGTGACGCTAATGTGCCCTCTCTGCAGGAGGACGGCCATCACCATATCTTAGGCGCTTCAGATGTGGATATCTCCCATTCGAAGCTGAAACAGAATGGGGCGGACAGACTCTCGCAGGAGGAAAAGTTCCGACTGCCGATTCCACCTCTAGGAGACACCGTTTAGTGGGTTAACAAACAAACAAGCCTCTGTACGGAAAAGGGGGCACCATCGTGTTCAATAGTGTTCTGACAGAAGAGAGAACCTCCGGTGTGCACGTGTCGGGGTGCAAAGCTCCAACCCAATGGAGCGCTGAGTCTTGCAGAATGAATGATAATTTTGACAGGAGATTGCACCGCAGCTAGGGGATGATGCGCCAGGCTCCACAGTGTCATGACACACACAGCTTTCTGGAGAAGCGCGGTGAGCGGTCTGGCGGAAGAGCGAATCTGCCTGTCTCTAATCGGTGCAGTTCTGTGGCTGGAGAAGGTCGACTGGCATTTTGCTGCGATGTGCCCTCTGCAAGCTCCTGAATTTGATTCTTCGTAGCCACGCAGGTGAGGCGAGGATGCTATTTTTAGGCTGAGGGTCTGTCGAAAGGAAGCCTGCCTAAAGAGCAGTCGTGAAGCTGCCACAGTGCAGTTAAACCACCAGTACTTCGTAGCCCCTTTTCCCCCAGGCCGATTTCCGCCGCACATATCTTTCTTTTGGCTTGCGCTGCCAGCGGTCTCGATTCTGTAGGCCATGCCCTGAAAGTTGTGGCACATGTATGGCTGCGCTTGAACAATTTGCCTCTGAAATGTACTGTTGGTTTAAACCGCTAGTGCTTCTCCCCAGACTTGTGGAGACTTGTTCGTTGCATACTCAGAAAAAGTCGGAGCCGGCGCGCCGTCGATAAAATGGGTGGGGTCTCCCTTCCTTTCTTCACACCAGCCTAAGGCTTGTTGGCAGAGAAAATAGTGAATGGCTGGTTCTTGTACTGTGAAGACGTGCCCTCAACGAACTGCAGAATTTGGTTTGCGGTGGCCGTGGCGGCGGAATGGTGATGATGTGGACGGAGGCGGAGAGTGGGCAACCATGAAGGAGCCGTGCACGCATGGGCGTGCGCCCACATGTGTGGATGTTTGTGTGGCTCGGCGACACATGGAAGACTTCTATGAAGATGGGCTCCAGTAACTTCAGTGGGAGGGAGGAGGGCATTCATGTAAAAAGTGTGTACATCTAACGCCAGTGTCAAAGATTTGCAAGCTTTCTTTGTGCCAAGGAAGACGTGCAAATTCAGTGGGTTGTTTGTTGTTGCTAAGTGGCTGGAGCGTCCGGTTGCTCCTATCGCTTTTTGAAGAAGGAGCAGCAGCATGGTTGGGCAGTGGGATGCTGCACTGCAAGCGGCAGAAGAACGTTCCAAAGTTTTGTAGCAATTTATTTGTACTACGGTGTAGTTGTTTTGCCTCCAGGAGAACTGGCTGAGCTCGCTACGGCTTTTTATGATTTTAGATTAGATGTTTTTTCCTTTCTTGAGCGAGTGAAAAGGCGGTGTGCATGTATTTTTGCCAGGTCTGTTTCTGGTGTGGTCAACATCATCAACCTTTTTTTTTTTTTTTTTTTTTTTTTTTTTTTTTTTTTTTT